TTTTACAAGTTTCCCTGACATTTCAGGTTATTTCTTAAGATCATGTGTATGTTCTCAATTTCTCTTCAGATCTATGTCGAGTAGAGTGGTCTAGGTTGGAAGGGACCTGTGCAGGTCATCTAGTCCAGCCCCTTGCTCAAAGCAGGGCCAGCTTGAAAGTTGGATCATGTTGCTCGGGACCTTGTTGACTCAAATTCTGAAATCTCCAAAGATGGGGGATTCCACAGCCTCTCTGGTGCCTGTTCCAGTGCTTGACTCTTCTTTGTTAAGAATTCCCTTATGTCAGTCACAGTTTTCCTGCTGCAGCTTGTAGCTTTTGCCTCTTGTCCTTTGTCCACCTCTGTGGTGTTTGCCTTCTCCGCAACAACACCTCTTTAGAAGCAGTGGAAGAGTGCAGTTATCCTCCCTTGTCTGCCCTCTCCAGACAAGACTAGCCAAGCTCCCTCAGCCTCTTGTACGTCCTAAGCCCCCAAACGTCTGTGGCTCTCCAGACACCCTCTAGTTTGAACGCTCTCATGCTGGGAAGCCTAAAACTGGACGCTTTTCCCCAGGTGGCCTCAGGTGCTGTGTGGAGAAATGATTGCTTCCAGTGACCTCCTGGCTGTGCTTTGCCCGTAGCAGAGTGTGCCTCCCTGTAGCAAGGCCATGCTGCTGGCTGGTGGTAGAGTGTTGTCTACTGTGACTCCCAGGTCCCTCTCTGAGGAGCTGCTCCCTCTCCGTGCGTTCCCTAACCTGGGCCAGTGCGTGAGGTTATTGTGTCCTAAATGCGTGTGGCTGTTGAACCGGACGGAGTGCCAGTCAGCCTCTTCCACCTTGCTGAGATCCCTCTTAACAGCAGCTCTGCTCTCCCACGTACTGATGACTCCTTCTAGTTTGGTGTCACTTGCAAACTTGATCGGGGTGTGTTCTTCCTTACTGTACCCAGAATTCTCTGTGCAGCAACATAAGAAGGAATCATTTTAAGACTGCAGCAAACCATGTTAGTCTTAAGTTAGACGTAATGCAGTTGTTTCCTTTGTGACTGAGGTTTGTGGAATTCCAAACCTTTACACTCCAAAGCTAGGTTTTCTTTGCAGAAGTGGTAACTACCTGTCAATAAACTCTAATCCTGATAGAGGGTGAAAACATGGAAGTACAGGGATAATTCTCTCACAGGCAGATGTGATGTTCTGGTATTCTTAATAGCAACATCGAGATACCTAAAACTTGATGTGTTTTGTCTTATTCAGCTTTTTACAAGCTCCGTGCAGATGAATCCCACAGATCATATCACTAATACCAAAGTAAGTCTTAAATCCATTGCTCAATGTACACAGTAGTGAGAGATGCAAACTTTATTCATCCTTTACTGTTTTCTTTTCTGGTGTAATAGCACTTTTTTCATGCTCTGGCTTTGAAGACTTCCATGCGAGTAGAAAGGCTGCAGCTGAATTCATCCTGTTTGTTAGGTTTTAAACAGAAAAGGGGAAAGCACACCAATTAATTATGTCCTTTAAAATTCATATTACATTAAGGCCGATACCTGTACATTGTACCAGTCTCTTGACTTTTGTGTCCCCTAAGATTTTAGTACTTGCAAACATGGTGCACACGTTGTCAGAATGGTTTCATCTGTATTGTCTGGTGGGAAAAGAAACACAAGAATAAGCAGCAGAGCAAAGATCTAGCACTTTGAACTTGTCCTGTTCATTCATGAGCACTGCATTTGGTTCTTGCTTGAGTCAGTCTGTGTCTCCATTTCATGTTTTTTCAGCCAGGGTCTGTTAGTGTGGGTAACTGATACCACTGCATCCCTTCACAAATAAAAATTTGATTTATTTTTTTTTTAATAGTTGGTCAGCTGTGTTCTGGTGGCATTGGAAAAGGCTTTAAGCATGTGTTTTAAGATTTTGCTTTTGTTTCCAGATGGAGACAAAGGGAATAGAAACTACCAAGAACAATGCTGGTCCAGCGGCTTCACAGGAAACACAAGTTTTTAAGCCCAAATCAGGTTAGTTGTAGTGCTTTGTTGAAACAGTTTAACAAGCCTTGTTCTAAAAACCATCTTAGTTATTTGCTCTTTGTCTGGTTTTGTGTCATGCTAATAAGTAAATAACCAAAAGAAAATACTTGACTGCGTTTGCCTTTCAGGTTTTTGGCACTGCACCAGGTGCAGAGAAACTGATGTTTTTGCAGGAGAATCTGAACAAACAATGTTACGCGTGAATGTAACAATTCTTCAATCACTCATTTAAAACAAACAGCTATAATGTTTTTTATTAACTATTCTTTAAATAAATTCTGTGGGTTGGATTGTGTTTTTTCCGTCTGCATGTAGAAAGGCCTGAGAACTGATGATGTTCTGGGAATTTTTTTCCCCCTAGATAAGCAGCTCATCCAGTACACTGCGTTTCCACTCCTTGCATTCCTCGATGGGAACCCAGGCTCCATCCTCGAGAGCGGGAGCTTCGTGGCTGAAACTCCTTCCTCTGTTGACAAACCCCTGGAAGTGGACGAGCTCCTGGAGAGCAGCCTGGATCCCGAGCCCACCCAGAGCAAGCTGGTGCGGCTGGAGCCGCTGACAGAGGCGGAAGCGAGCGAAGCCACGCTGTTCTATCTATGTGAACTTGCCCCAGCACCCATGGACACAGACATGCCGTTCTTGGATAACTAACGTAACGGGGACTCTGTATATAGTCATGAAGATGAACTATTTATTTAGAATATTGTTTGGTATATGAGTTTTTTGTAAATCACTGTTTTACGTAACCAGATAATGTGGAATCTAAAATACCTTTCCTATGCTACTCCCTACAAGCAGTCGTTTTAACTGCGTGGTGAGACAAGCTGTTAGGCAGGGTGGGCAATACCGAGTGGGACTGTTCGTGTAACAGTTACTGCTGTCAGATACTTGGTATTACACATATCGCTACGTACCCCAGGTAATGGAACACTTGTTAATAGTAAGCTCTGATTTATGATTTCTTATACTTCTGGTCTTACATATGATGACGTAAACTAGTAGTGTATGGTTAGGGAGCACTGACTTTCTGTATCTTCGGTTTTTTCTATTTTTTACAACATTTTGTTTAACAAACATGAGGCTTTTTTGGGGTGGGGGGGACCAGGACCTGATGTAGGCTTTTTTTTTCCCTGCTTGAACTGGGAACAAAGTGCCTGTACCTTGCTCAATCTTGGTTCTGCCTTACTTTCACTTCAGTGGAAGTGCTCACACATAGCACAAACTTGGGGAAAAAAGTTCTTTACAGCCACCAGGCCCCTCGACTGCATGAGTGCTTTTAACTTGGACCATCTACTCTGATAAAATAAATGTTACTTAAGTGTGATACTTGTTAAGAGTTGTCCCTTATTCCCTGTGCCTGGTGGGCAAGGATCCAACAGCCTGTATTTTTCATGCCTGAGTAGCTGCGCAAGCAGCTCTGCTTCTGTGCATGTTTATTGCAAACTAGTTTGGAGGTAATGAAACTTGAAGGTTTATTTATAAGCCTCCAAAACAAGTGGCTAATGCAGCAAACCATGTTGTCCTTTAATAGCACACAAGGGAATATCTTCTCCTTTGTTTTCTTACTGAAAACTGCAGCAGATGCCTGTAGCTTTCCTTCTCCTGGATGAGCTCTGCCCCTACTCAAAAGGTGCCTTTCTATTATTGTTTTTACTGAAATGTTCCTGTTTATTCAGGTGAACATGCTGTAGCTGTAGCAGTAGGGTTACTGCCACACCAGGTGAAGGTGCAGCTGACACACTTTAAATCGTCTCACCCTGAGCTGATTCAATATAAACAAATGGTAAGGTAAGCTGTAACTGAAGATAAAAGCATTCTTCCCTCTCTGTCCTCAAAGCTGTAGCTGGGGAGTTCTAAGAAGCTGCAGTGTGCAAGGTGTTCCAATGATGGGACAAACTGGATTTTAGTAACTTCACACATACAGCAGGAAAAACACCTTCCACAACTCTGGCACTGCATTCAAAATCAACTGGTTTTTTTTGTAAAGGCATAGTCTGGCCACTTGTACAAGGAGCTGAATCCATAGACACAGCTGTCCATTCATCTTCCCAATTCAGCAACTAGTCATTTCTTACAGGACTCGGGAACTGCTGTGTTAAAACTGGTGTTCAGGTATTTCACCCAAACTTAAGCACAGGTGCAGTACAAGGTGGCAGCAGCAGTTCCTGAAGGAGTGCAGTTCATGTTTTCAGAGAGCTGGTCGCAAAGGGCAGAGGGAAGAGAACTGTCCGAAAACTTCCTGCAGGGGTTACGTGCGGTCTTCCATGGAGCCAGGAACCCCCTGCCTGCCTTGCAGTGGTGCACATGCTACTTCTCAGACAGCAAGCGCTATGAAACATCCCAGGAGCGGAAGATGAGCTGCAATATCAAACCCGATGCTACCCACGTGGGGCAGTAGTACAACACACCAGAAGTCATGGCACATCTTCATCCAAATTTATTTATTAGTAAGGTAATAACATGTTCCAAATTATTACAAGCCTTTACTAATCCTTCCATTACCATCTCAAGTTTGACTGACATGTCAGGCTTCTGCAGTAAATGTCAGGGTTTAGGTGCAGAATTAAAATAAAAGCTTAGAGAATAATTAGCAACAGGATAAACACCACAGTAACAGATCAGCCTGACATCTGCCAAAGGCTCTCAGGTCACTCCCAGTCAGGCTGCTCTAGTCTCAAGTTGTAGCAAGTAACAGAGAGATATAAATAATGCAGCTTACATACTTCAATTACAAAGCAGCAAGCACAAAAGCATTTAAGATTTCATAACTGCACAGGAACTATATGGTATTTTAATCAAACAGATTAGTGTCCTGTCTCCTGCCTAGAGTTAGACTTTCTAGGCTCAAGTCCATCTCTGGCCATGGACAACAAGCAAAATACCTAATACATTAAATGATTTCAGATTTAGAGCCCCAAATATATGAAGAAACACTTTTGTGGAAGCCTCAGTTAATGCAAACCTCCTTTAGTTACTGTAATTTTTCCTCTGCTGCTTCTTTAACCACAATACTCAAAAAATTCCTCTAAAGGGCTTACACAGTTTTCACCACTCGGCTCCTTGCAAACTCTGTGATTGTAGCTTAGCCAAGAAAGAAAGTGGCACACAAAACAGCAATAAATTACAGCACAGCTATCCCATTTAAACTACTTTAAACAAACAAAAAAATAATAATACATAGGTGTAAGTTGTAAACAGGTGCCTTAAAAACATGCTTCTGAGCATCTGGTACCAGGATGTTTCTCCCCAGGGTGTTTGTCCTTCCGTCTGCCACAGGACACATCAGACCCAACAGCACCAAGGAGGACATCAGCTCCTCTGCAGCTTCAGGTGCAGGTTTCCCCATTTAACATCTGTGCTAAAGGTATTGCTGCCCTCAGTGCAGGAAAAGGGCGGGCTGCTGGTGCCAGCATGCTGCAAGAGCTTCAGCGAACTCCAACAAGCAGAGTTTTGAGTCTATCAACGCTCACTCCAGACTTAATTTGGAATCAAGGCAACAGGGATCAAAGGCAGCCCCTCCTTTGCTTGCAAAGCCTGATCTAATACTGTTTTGTTACCCTAATTAACGCTTGCGCTTTCTTTCCTACAACTATTTAATGCAATTGAGGGGAAAAAACCTACTTCCAAAAGGTCCTGATCTTACATCTAATGCTCCCGAAGCTCCTATGAAAACCACCATTACAGCAATTGTCACTGAGCTCAGCTAGAAAAAGTCATTAGTGAAATGACAAGAGACATGATTCAAGGTAATCATGCAGAATAAAGCAGGGTATATACTACACGGATAGCACACGCACACATGCGTGTGCACACACATATTTACAACTGCACTATTATCTGGAATACTGTTTGTTTCATGGACACGGTGAAGCTAACGCAGTCTCCCTAGAGCGCAGCACAGCTTAGTCAAAGTCGCGGTTTGTGAGAACCAGTGGAGCAACCAGAGTCCACACGTAGAGCACGATGCCAATCCAGCTGGAAGATATCTTCACCCAGACAGATGGCCATTTGCTGGTCATTGTCTCGTAAGAAGAATCTGGACTGTTAAAGAAGGAAAGAAAAAAAATAAAGATAAATTTGCAATTTTTGTTTCAATATGACATACTCGTCGTAGTAAGCCACTCTTCAACAGTGTTTTCACAGTAGATCGTTTTCACTTCTCCTCCACCCCTCAGAGGACATCTCTACCCTTCTTCTTCCAGGCAGTTCACACCAATCTGTACAAGAACACCATTTGTAAGTTGGTGTCACAGGAAGGTGGAAAGCAACAGCAGCCCAGAAAAACAGTAAGAGAAGCTGTCAAGAAGCAGAAATAATTAGGAGGAATCTCTAAGCAAATCTGTGGAAAGGCAGGAAATGGATAGCATTTATAGATGCAAATAATGCACTTTACCTTGCCAAAAGACAACACCTAGAAGAATTAACAATCTTGACCCACATTGACCCAAGCAGGGCCACAAATCAAATCCACAGCAGGACTATTAAGAATTACTTTTGAAGGAAACACCTTTCTAGTATTGCTATTTTGATACAAATTGTCCTTTAACAAATTATTAGAGACCCTAATCTGTATTTTTAAATTCTGAAGAATACCTGCTCAAGCTGTTAACAACAATTCACACACAGGAGAACTATTTTACTGTGAGGGTTTTTTCAGGGAGCAGACAACCTCATCTCCTTCCACCAGGCCCCGTCACAGACTGGCTGAGGTCGGAAGGGACCTCTGAATGTCATCTGGTCTAACCCCCCTGCCCAAGGAGGGACACCTACAGCCAGCTAACCAGGACTATGCCCAGACGGCTTCTGAATACCTCCAAGGATGGAGACTCCACAACCTCCCTGGGCAACCTGTGCCAGCGCTCAGTCACCCTTACAATGAAAAGGTGTTTCCCGATGCTCGGAGGGAACCTCCCGTGCTTCAGTTCGTGCCTGTTGCCTCTGGTCCTGTCACTGGGCACCGCTGAAAGGAGCCTGGCTCCGTCCTTTTTACATCCTCCCTTCAGGTACTTATTTATATGCATTGATGAGATGCCCCAGAGCCTTCTCTTCTCCAGGATGACCAGTCCCAAATCCCTCAGCCTCTCCTCATGTAACAGATGCTCCAGCCCCTTCAACATCTTTGTGGTCCTTTGCTGGATTCTCTCCAGTGTCTCCATGTCTCTCCTGTACTGGGGAGCCCAGGACTGGACCCAGCACTCCAGGTGTGTCTCACCAGCACTGAGCAGAGGGGAAGGATCACCTCTCCCTCAACCTGCTGATACAACATGTCCTATCACTCCTTTTTCCATCTCTCTGCACCAGACATGGGCCTGGTGCTTACTTATCTTTAATTACAGAATTTAAGACTCTATCCTGCTCACTTCAGCAGGACGTATTTCAGGAGTCCAGTGAATCATGAGAATTATCCTAGAAAATATGACAGGCACCTGTGAATAAGGTTGGCTACTCCAATTTTCAAATATAATTCACTTAATACAGATCAAACAGTATACTTCCCTTAAGAAGTCCCATTCAAGACCTACATTCCTCACAGCACACAACTTATGCCTCCTTGTCCAGCAAAAGATAGCATCTTGTATGCTTGTTATTAGCACAATGTATCATCAAATGTAATACCTGTACCAGTTGGTAAGTGTCATCATGATATACAGCGATGCCAGGAAAAGCATGAAATGAAAGAAGGAGTAACTGTAAGTAACTCCATCCCTCTCATTATCTATGGCTCGGTGAACATCATCTCCATCATCAAGGGAGCCATCACTCCTGGGCATTCCATCCTCTATCAGTGTAGATTCATCACTGGTCAGCATCAGCTTGTTAACTTGGCTGTTGTTGGATGTTCGGATGCTGTATTTGACAGGAAAGGACACAGCATAGTTACCCAAATAAATACAATTTACTCTCTGACAATGAGAAGTAATACAAGTTAATAGGAAATTTTTTTAAAGGAATCTTACCTTGAATAGAGAACACACAGCAAAAACAAAACCAGTCCCACAATTCCTTGTGCATCCCACCACTGAACTACCTGACCTTGGGTTGGAATGGTGGTGCTATTGTAACCGATGATGCTCAGCAAACTTGGGTTACAGCGCCTATCTATGGGAGAAGTTACATTAGAACTTACATAAAACAAGAACAGAACAAATATTTAATAGTACATTTCCATGCTGAATGCACAGTAATAGAAAGGAACTTTGTGACTGTGACAGTCATGAAGTAAAAAAGCTTTGAATCTAATTTTAGCCTATCAAGTCTCTCTAAAGCAGGGAAGTGACAGTTTGCGGCATAAAAATCTGTCTCTTTGACCACATAAAAGGATTTTAAACTTATATAAGATATGCATCAACTGCTTTACCGTTCCACCTCATATAATAAGATGCAACAAAATAAAAATGCTCTGCATATTAAGCCTTAGAAATTCTACTACTACAAAACAAGTTTGACAAGCATATACTCTATAGATGGGGTACCAGCGTCATCCCAGAGTTGGAAAAAAATGCTACAAAGTCACTTTCGTATTATCAATGGTTCCCAACCCACGGCATCCACTGGTAACAAAGATGAAACAGCTGAAAGTAGTAGACAATCTTACTTCCCCGTAATTCCATAATTACTGCAGCAATTAAATATGACTCATACATATGCTGTTACACAGAAGCACAGAAGATTGTCCATGATTAAGATTAAAAAGCCAGAGACCCAATTAAAAACACCAAAATCAATATTTGACAGTTTACTTCAATCATGAGAATTTCTGAATTTTTTTAGAGATGCTCAGCTGTTTCAGACACAAAAAACATTGAATACATTTATTAATACATTTTTTTTTAAAATCCTCACTTTGGAAAAATATAATCAGTAGCATCTCAGTCACCAGGTAAGAAACTTGAAACTTGGTAGGGAGATGAACCTTCCAGACACCTTGGAAGAGTTGTGGTAATATGCAAAAATCTAAGCTTTAGAATACTGGAATCCTGCCAATAATAGGTAGAAGTTCTTCCATACAATAAATACAAGAGGAAATGAAAAACATGTTATCTTTGGAAGAACTATTTCTTTGGTATTATTACAGAAAGTTGGGGTGGGGGAAGAGAACACAAACTAACGAGTCCTGCCTCTAACTTGCATGCATTATAGCACCCCATTCTAATATTACCTTGCAAAAAGGTGAAGATAGAATTTACTGCTGAACTGGTTACCCAAAAAGCCATATATTGCTACTACACTTACCTGGTTCATTGGTCATAGCTGACCAAGTCAAATACATCGTATAAACTGTGATCACAGAAGACTGCAGCAAACCAGATCTTGGCTGAGATTCCTATACAAAATAGTCATAAACCAGCAAAGTTAGGCAAGTAAAAGTCTTGGGCACAATTATATTATAGGTTTCTGGGACTTAAAACACAAGAAAACCCTAAAAGGTAATAGATTTAAAACTATACCTGAATCTTCGGCAGAATTGACATTACGGAAGCACCAATACACAGCAGCATGTTAACACTGATGAATGTCTTGTTTTCAGAACAACCTTCTGGATGAGTGTAATAAACATAAAACAAGACAATAGCTACTAGAGACAGTAGATAATTGACAGCTGTAGCTGACAGCAGAGCTGTGAAAAGAGACAAAAACAGAGTTAAACCGGTTAATAATGGAGAGTATTAAAATTGAAGTAATATTGCATAATTTTCAGGTTTTGGATACAGTATACAATGATCATTTGAGAGCAGCTCTGGGCACTGAAATGTAAAGGAAGAAAGTTCTTCTCAATACTCTGAGGTGTTAAAAAGAAAGAACACAATAAATGGGAAGCCTGAAGCCATACTTGATTCTCCAGCCCTCCCACAGCAACCAAGAAGAACAAGTATGAAGGAATACAGTTATACTACATACACTTTAGCTAAAAGCTTAAAAAAGAAACTGAAGAACTACTTCTCCAACAGAAGGAAAAACAAAATCTCATTTCCAAATTCCATCTTATTAAAAACATTGAAGAGTGAAGTGCCATTGCATGAAGACAGGCCGTGCTGTCTTTTGAAACACATAAAATATCACATCTGAAATGCTTTATTAAAATTAGCATATCATTTCTCCAGTGTGATGACTTGTACTCTCCTTCACTATCCTGGCCTTTCACTCACCATATACTTTCAAAGAATGACCAACCGGCAGACAGAAAGAAAACAATTATTTGGGAGGCTTATGCTCAATATGAAGCAGTAACAGGCTAGTTAGTTTTTAGTCAGTGCTAAGGTGTAACAAAACCTGTGGATGGAAAAAAAAAAAACCACAACCCAAAACCCTACAATTGCCACTTCTCTGCTATCATAAACTGATGCCCTGCTCCCAGGGATTAGATCTTCTTACTCAGAGGCTGCTGCTCCCCTCCGTGCCCCCCTCCCCTTATTTAACTTGACATCAAAAGGACAGCAAGACAACGGAGCTGAACTACACCATCTGAGAAAATGATACTCATGCACCAAGCAGCCCTTCTGCACTATGGTAAAATGCACTACTCATGTAATGCACAATGAAATTGAAAACTTGATTGTAGTACAGTCCTTTACCTGCATACCAGCACCTTGAGTTTCCTTCCTCCATTTTTTCAACCCAAGATTCATTCCAGGAGTGAGCGAAGTCAATAAGCAAGACCAGCTGAATAAGAATAAAGCAGAATGCTCCAGCCATACCTACATAAAACCACACTAAAAGAGAAATAAAACAAAACCAGTTCAGAACCATAGATAGTTTACCACCCTGTCTTAATGTCCCTAGACACAGAAAAGTGCTATAGTTACACAGCTACAATTAAAACTGTAAGACAACAGCATGCACTTAAGTTTTGTTTTAAAACCAGTTATGATTGTACCATGATACAGTGGAAGACAGTATTCCCTTACCAGTTGTAAATGGTCCCTCTGGTATGAAGAAAGCTCCAACACTAATTGCGAGTGCTGTTGCAAATTTAAAGAACCAGAATCTAAAGGGAAATAACAAAAAAACAAAACAACAAAAAAAAAAGTCAGGCAACTGCTGAAGTCTGATCTAATTCACAGAACTTGAAAGTACACAAAATGATCATCCTTAAGAGTTGTTTTTTTAATTCACTCAACTCACTTCCTTTGAAGTAGGATAAAAATCTTACCTTATCTGCCCAAGAGTTTTGTTCTCCAGAAAATTATGCTTAAACTGTGCTAGACTGACACAGAGTTTGACGCATTTCCTGGAGATAGCTCACTTGTGTTACAAATGAAGCCAGGGTGGACTATAATTGAGTTGTGGGGTTTTTGGTTTTTGTTTTTTTTAAGAAGGTTTTTAACTAGAGCAGTGAGATTATTGAACTGCCTGCATATCAGAAAAAATGGTTTTAAAAAAATCCCTACCTGTTTTTAGTACCAAAACCAAAAAGGTAGAAGATCTGGTTGGTTCCTACAATGACAGAAAACATTATGCTGGAGTTCCCTACCAATCTTGATTCTCTTCCTACAAGAGAGAGATGTACAAAAGCCTAGATTCTTCCCACCTAACTTCAGACTCTTTAGGCCTACATCTGATGAGGATTTATCACAACAACAAAAGCCAAGGATTTATCCTTCATAGAAAGGACACAATCAAACTCTATGTTCCTGTTCCAGTTCAGTAGCACTCTTGGGTTTTTTTCCAGTAAAAGATACACACTCATGGACAAACAAAACAGATCACACATTTCCTAAAAAGCAGACAAGGAAATATCTTCCACGAAAGATTCCCCAAACTCACCTCAAATACAGACTGTGTACAAATATACCCTGCATAGGGAACTTCACATCAAGAAGTTATGCCAACAAAACTGTAAGAAGGTGAAGACTATTTTTTCTGATCACAGTGACAGGCAGCTCCAAATATAGGCACAGTACCATCTACATGTACTTCAAAACTGAATATAGCACAAAGGCATGTACCACAGCCCCGTGATGTCAAATACTTGCACAGTTTTCAAGTTTTATATCCCTTCCCATTTCTTTCCCATACTTTAAACAAGTTTAATCTCTCCTTCTGGCTGTTACAATCAGGTGATGGTGACCAGAGGAATGAATTCCAGTTCTGTGGAGAGGAACCGTGTCAGATGACACAAGTACAGAATATGGGAAAAATGGTCTAATTCACTGGGATATAGCCAAGTGTCTAAATGTACTTTGAAAGCTGAATTAACTTACAACATTTACGGTGTAATACATACCCCACTAAAACTAGTTTTTGAATCCACATGTGGAATTTTATATTTTTTTAATCAATGTCATTCTCAATTATAGAAATAAGAACAGATTCAAGTTTGTATAAATTTCATCTCTAATTCCAGACTTTTTTAAGGGATCTAAACACTCTACCCATATAATGTGCGTGACAGCCAAAAACAATACTGATCTGAAATAATACCTACAGTTGCTATGCATTCTGTGCAAGCCACCAGCAATCCTATGAATATAAGTTATTTTTTTCTATTATTATTAACCTGAGGCAAGAAACCATTCTGACTGCTGTTATAAAAGCAAAGAAGGTGAACATTGGCACTACACCACATTACTGGGCTTAATTTGCATGCAAGTATGAAAAAGTTAGTACATATACATGGCAAAACCTAATATTCTGAATATTTCAAACCACTGACAGGAAGATTACATGGCAAAGTATTACTGAGGATACATACAATTTCAAAAACCAAAAGCCATGGGTTTCATAAAGCTACCTGTAATGCATACTATTGAACCAACTAGTTATTACAGAAGTGTTGGAAGTAACATTATTAAATATTTTACCACTAACAGTTAACAAGTATCATCTTTCCTTTTATACTAGTGCTGACACTAGATTGACTAAGAAGAGTAAACTGCAAGGGGTTGCATAAATAGTAACAAAATTTGTACTGGAGAGCACAACTCCAGATAACTATATCAAGAAGATCCCAAACACTTAAGCAGTGGTTTTAGGTAAAAAGACTCTACGTCATATAAAAGGTGTCTTTTATTGTAACAAAAAAATCACCCCACAAAGCATTGATATAGAATGTACCTGAACCATTTTCTTCTTGTTTGTAACAAGTACACTCTCCTGAACAAAGCAGGGCAGAGCGAAAGGCTGAACTGAGTTACTGCTGCTAATGCATCCTAATACTGTAGCCAGCCTCTTTTTCTTTAGACCGAAACAAACAAAAGTAGTCAACAAAGCAATATTCTGCTCAGTCTTAATTATTTTCTTTTCTCCTTGTCCTGGTTTCAGCTGGGACAGAGTTAATTTTCTTTCTAGTAGCTGGTACTATGTTACGTTTTGGATTTAGGATGAGGATAATGCTGATAACACACTGATGTTTTCAGTTAGTCTAAACACTGCTTAGCAAGAAGTCAAGGGTTTTTCAGCTTCTTGTGCCCAGCCAGCGAGAAGGCTGGAGGGGCACAAGTTGGGAGGGGACACAGCCGGGACAGCTGACCCCAACTGGCCAAAGGGGTATTCCACACGACGTGACATCATGCCCAGTATATAAACTGGGGGGAGTTGGCTGGGGCAGCAGATCACTGCTCAGGAACTAACTGGGTATCAGTTGGCGAGTGGTGAGCAATTGCATTGTGCATCACTTGTTTTGTATATTCCAATCCATTTTTTATTACTGTCATTTTATTATTGTTACTATTATCATTATTAGTTTCTTCCTTTCTGTTCTTCTAAACTGTTCTTATCTCAACCCACGAGTTTTACTTTTTTTTCCCCCCCCCAATTCTCTTCCCCATCGTACTGGTTGTGAGGGGAAGTGAGTGGGCAGCTGTGTGGTGCTTAGTGCTGGCTGGAGTTAAACAACGACACCCCTACAGAAATAATTTGAAGTTTTTTCTCAGTTTATGCTAAACATGTTTAATGTTATTATACTGAATATAAAATAAAATTACTTCTTCATTTTTATGGCTTAGCTGTTCATAGCTTCCGTTAAATACAATCATCTTGAAAAAGTAGTAGTCTAAGCAATCAGTGTGACCAGCAAGACTAGGCACCATAAATGGTTTTATGCTTTTTAGTGCCATCCCCTATTACAAATATTTACATTTCCTTAGTTCAAGAAGCTACATTACACATAGGCTGAGCCTGGATGAAAACTACCAGTTGTACCAACCTGCAAGCTGAAATTTCACTATTATCTTCCATCTGATAAACCTAACTATAATGAAATGCCAAAGAAAAATTTACTGGGAAGCTCAGAAACTAAACACATAACTCACTCTTCTTTATGCAGAGGGGAGACTGAAAAAAACATAGCAGAGGGGGAAGAGATATGTTATGTATCTATATCAATATATAGATAACTGTGATAATCTTTAAAATAAAACTGTTCAGAAAAGAGCAAACCCTTACGAACATCAAAGTTAAGAGGAATGTAATCCCTAGAGGACAGATGAGGCTTTTTAATATTTCTCTTTGTTGAAAAAAAAAAAGTCTCAGTGGAGTGAAACTTGGTACCATTATTCATCTCTGAATTTTGTCGTCTTTGGACAAAAGCAGAACCTCTAATCTTGGGAAACCTCTGGAGAGGTTATACATTGCCATAGTTCAGGCTCTGAAAAGTGACAGCCATGTGTATCTTTTCCTCTTACAAAAACTAATCTGCTGTGTCTAAGAACTCTAATAACTTTGAATGCCCTCTACTGCAACAACCCTCCTCTAGCTACTATGAAATTGTTTGTGGAACAGTAAATTTGACCAGCATGCTCAGCCACGGGCTTTATTTTCACAGTAGCTGTATCTCATATGCAGACACCACCCATCTCTGTTCTCGTTTCTGTATCTTACCCATTGTGCACCGCTGCTCTTGGGTCGTTGCTGCTTTTCACTTTGATCATCAATAAGGAGAAAAGAAGGAAGAACATTGCCATACCAAAGCACACACGGTACACAGCTTTGTAACCAACTAGTACGTCGCAGTTCACGTGGCCATGCACACCAGGAATAGTTGTTCCCATTCCTCCATCACAAAATCCAGGAATCTGTGATAAATACAAGGGATACTTCAGTGATCTGTAAAAGGCCTCCTGTGAGTAAATATGTATTAGCTATTTATTAATATACAACTCATTAATATTGTAACGTTATGCAGCTATTAACATTGCTAGAATACGATACTGAACGGCTGTATTGTTAGTTATAGTCCAAGCAGAATATTAAACACACTCAAGGAAAAAATTCCCACAGGCAAATTCTAAACAAAACCAAAAATAAATCTTATTAACAGTAGTGGATTGTTGTTTTGTTGGGGTTTTTTTGTTGTTGTTAGGAATTTCAGAACTTCTCAAAGAAATGCAATTTTTACTTGCTGATCTGACTCAGGAGATAAATAAAAAATAATGGGATTTGGTACATTTCACTTGACAGTTACTATCAAGTTCATGACACAGCTAGGAGAAGGCAGCCTACTTACATCTTTTAAAAAGAGAAACAGCCTCCCCCCAAAAAGTAACATCACAATCAATTACAAGTATCTGTAACTTCCATATGAAACAGCTGAGAATATCCTTTCCAGTTATTACCAGGACATGAGCAACACCTTTCTGAAGTCAAATCATACTCCAGAAGGCTGTAATTTTCTTTCCTAGGTGACTAACATGGCTCTCACTGAAGCTCTAATGTGGTTACCATACCACAGTGAAATAAACATTTACAGATGAATGAATCATTGGGGGGGGGATCAAAAGCATGCCTAACAGAAGTTACTATCTACTAGAAAAAAAAAAAAATAAAGATAGCACAACAAAACTAACAGAACCAAAGCACAAGCAAACCCAGTTCAGTGAATCTATAAGCTCTTCTATAACTCAAATTATTACTCCATAATTTTACAAAGACTACCGTATCTTCATAACTAATAAACTGTAAAATCATACAATTAATAAACTGTATGGAATTTTAACTAGGACAGCACAATGAAACTAGAAGTCACCTTAGATTGTGGTTATTTTTCACTCTTTTATTAACAACAATCAAAATCAATCAAGTGCCACAAATACAAGTATCTCAATGATATATAATTTATAACTCCATATACATACATTATATTTTCTGCTCTGAGCTATTAAAGAAGAGGCACAACTTTATTTCTCAATAGTGCTTTTCATCTATGCAGTGATTGTCCCAGGAGTTCTTTGTTTATTTGACCTACAGTCAAATTAATGGTGACTGTGAAGCACAGGTGGCAGCACTTACAAATTTCCACATAAACCCCATGCTTTCAAGAGGTCATTTACAATTTTGTGTGACATGTGTTCTACCAAACATGTTAGCAAAGAAGTAACCTGACCTTCTTCAGCTGCTCTTCCATGCCTGGTATTAACATCACACAGGCAACACTCACGCCAAGAAGCAAAAAGAACGCATAAACCAGGCGAGTTATGGTGGAGTTGTTTCCACTGGGGCAGCATCGGCAGAGCAGGCACGGGGCACTTCCACATAAGCATGGTACCTGACAGAGACAGAAAATGAAACAGATTCTTTAAAAAGTTTTGCATTGCTAGATTTCAGTATTTAATCAGGCTCTGTAGATCATCAGAAGTTATGATGGAAAATGACTCATCCTATGCATCCCATCACTAGTGTGGACTAAGCCACTGCAACATGTTACAGAGCCTTCTAACAATCTTAGCAGCGTTTCCTAACGCACCACTGTACAGTGAAATTAGTGCTATGTCAAAAGTAATCATTTATCCATTCAGAGGAAATAAAGACTGGATTCAGGCTCATGTGTTCTCTTGAATTTCATTTAATTTCAGCTAAATGAGACGCAAGGATTGCTTTTAGTTAACAACTACATCCTCCTTTCCACAGCTGCAGAGATTAAATAAATATACCACAGAAAAAAAAAATATGAGCACAACTGCCATCTAGGTACACTTTAAGCATCTGGCAGAGTTGGACCACAATCCTCACTGGGGCCATGAACATCACTGGAGCACAAACAATAGGTAAAATAGCCTAAAGCTTAGGTTGCAAATTATTGCATATTTAGCAGCTACTCACATATCACATAATTCTGTTAGCTGGCAAAGACAACTTATGCAATGTAAAAGTTACAAATCTCAAGAACAAAGCAAACACACAGTACATGTATTATCATCGCTACCAAATATCAACAGTAAAAGTGAATAGGAATGCTGCACAGTTGCAGTACTACAAGGGAAGAAAACAGGACAAAGTTTACCTGTATGTAATTCTTAAACAGAAAATTGTGGGAAGAAGGAAAGGGAGCAGATAGTGCTATTTCACCGGGGGGGGCGGGGAGCAGGAAACTTACTTCACCCCTTTGCAATTTTCTGCCACTTGCCAAGTGACAACAATTCAGGAAGCGAAAGAAGGGCAAAGTTCCACATGTAAACATAAGCCAAAACAGGAAAGGTACAGTCAAAATGTTTTGGGTTGTTGTTTTGTTGCCTGTTTATTTTTTTAATTTACAAATAAATTACTCTGCCTAGAAGACATGGGAAATCCCAGTGAGCAGTGAACAGCTAGGTTTTGGGGGCCACATATTTTTCAGCTAAAGTAAAGTTACCAAGCAAGCACTGCCTTATCTGAGCTACAACAGAACACACAACCTCTGACAAAGATACTGAATGGCAGCAAAACCCAGCTTCTCCTCCAGCACCCACGCAGGGACACTTCCACCATGTGACGAAAGCCACAGGCGTTAATTACCGCAGGAAAGACACCCAGTCAGTCACATAAGAACATGACTAGTTACATTGCCACATGACCAGTGCATGTCAATCATCCAGTAGGACTGGCATGTGTCAAAGAGAGTTGTTAAAAGTGTAGTCATATGACAAACTAAAATGGCACCAGTCTGCTGCTACCAGGAAGACCCCAGGGCTTGCAGGGAAGAGCAGACAGACTGCCACAACGCTCTCGGCAGCCTCCTGAGAAGCCCTCAGGAAAAGGCTCAGATTATCTGTTCTTACAGGTTCAGACAGACCCACACACTGGACCCACAAACTGAGTCTTTTAAATAATTTCGTGTTCTTTTTGTACTTGTGATCCTTTCCGACGATGGAGAAGCCAAGAATTTTCACTCTATGCTACAGTAAAAGATATTATATTGCCCTTTTTAACCTCCTCCTCCACTCAGTATCGTTACAGTACAAGGAGTGTGAAGGTGTTGATTCCCTGAGAGGTTTCATCTCGATATAAGAAGAAATTTTTCACAGTGAAAACAATCACTCACTGCAACAACCTCCCCAAGGGCATGGTAGAGTCCCCATCACTGGAGGTTTTCAAGACACGACTGGACAGGGTGCTAGATCATCTCATCTAGGCTCCCTTCCCACAAAAGGTCGGACCAGATGATTGTTCGAGGCTGTTCTATGGCTGCAAGCAACTACATTAGGGGCATCTACGCTTAGTAAGCAGGAAATGTATAGCAAATATTGGCTTAGGATGCATCAGGATTTTATAGTACTAATGCATTACATTATTTCCTCCACACATACAACCCTTCGAGTGAAGAATATTTCTATTCTCTATTCAAAAAAATTACTTTCTTGAACTAATTCTGTCTGCATTAATATTTTTAAAGATACAGTTGAATAAAAGGTTGAATTTGGCAGAGTAGAACATAAGCCTAGGCTCATCTGCTGCAGCAAATTTGGTGCAAGGACCATCTGGCACAAAAGTGACTTCTCTGGAGAATCCCAGTCTTAAATTGTTTGTTAAATACCCAAGTAATTCAAGCAGCCTCCTCCTGAGTGCATCAAGGAGAACACAGGAATGCATGTTTCTAGAGACAGGGGAGGCTTACAGTGGCTGAAATAAAGAGGACTGTCTTTCCCCCACTGGGAAACAACGTGCCTCAAACGAGGCGATATACCTCCTTTAAGTGTCTGAGCTCCAACACTAGCTTTTAAAACGTTTTGTCCCCAAACGGCTCATCCTTACAAGCTGTGCTCATGCGCATCTCTGAACAAGAGCCCTATTGACAGTTAATACTATTTATACAAGTCGGCCATTTCTACAAGGAATCACACTACAGTCTAAGTCCCTCTTTCTTTTAGCAAGACAGAATAAAATATATACCATTCCAATAAAATATTATTATAGTACTACAGGCAAAAACACTTCTAACAAGTAACAGACTTCAAAAAGAACAGAGAGCAAAGAACATTTGGCCCATGGAACTGAGTTTACCAGCAGAGGAGACAAGAACAGTTTGTGTCACTTTATTCCTAAATTCAGAACTCGCCTCCTACAAAAAAAATACTACAGGGCAAACAGTAAGATACTACTACACAGATGAAAGCTTAACATTAACTCCCCAGGGGAAGCCCAGCTTAGTCAGAGATGCAGACAAAGAGTTACCCTGCAATGAGTTTTGAGCTTGCTTTCTTAAGGAAGCTCGGACAACAGTCACTAAGTCACAACTGCATAAACCTATTGCCATCCAGCAACTTTTGGACCTACCAAGCAGCTCGCATGCCTGCACATTTTTGAGAAAAATGAACAACTCAGTGTTCACTGAGGCAAAATAAGAAAAGATGACCCACACACCTATTCTGGGAGCAGCCAGCTAGGCAGACAAGTTAATTCATGCCTGCTAAACCAGTCACTTCATTCTCTAGGGCAGTGGAAATTGCAGGAGGAACACATAACAGGATGAGTATTGCAGGAGAGAGGATGGGAGGAAAAACCCCACAAAACCACTGAAAGTCAAGTGTTATTGCCCCTGATGCACACAGAACAAGTTTTTAGTATCAAATGTAATCTTCTTACTGGGATAATGACTAAATAATTACATACTAAATTCAGTATTTGCAAAAACACTAAGCCCCCCGCTGGGCCTAGTCAGGTTTTAGCTACATCATCCCTACTCATATGCTTAAAGGAACCAATTCAATCAAGATCTGTGCCTTGATACAGAGTATTAAAGTGAGCAAAACAGCAGCTGAGCTATTTCAGAGAACAATGCAGTAGAGGCAAGACCCAGCAGAGTGAAAATGGCACTGCCTGACCAATCTAGGTCGTCAGGATCAGAAGACTTTTGGTGAGATGACAGTGCTCTTAAGGCATTCCCCCCCCACACCTCCCTCTCCAACAGGCTCATCTTTGCTCTTAAAAACGCTTAACAGAAACACTGCCTGATCAGCGTACAGTAGGGCAGAGCTACAACCAGCAAGTAACACCACACAAAAAATCCAGACGAAATAAAGGTACGAGGCCAGATGCTGAGGTCATTTACCCAGAGCAACTCTGCATGGCACAACACACGGCCTTGCAGAGAAGCTACACAGCTAAAGCAACGCCTGCAGCAGCATCTTCCCCGACAAAAGAGGAGTAAGTTTCCTGGCCATGGCACAGTCTGCGCTAGCACAAACTCCACTACATCTGGCCCCCCTGCTACCTCACCCTCACAGTTTGTTTCTCTTTCAGAGCCACAAATGGTGTTTATACTGACATATCCTTAGAGATCAGCACAGACAGATTTCCCCTATAAGAACTGTTGTATAGGCTTTAAGTGCTGATTAGCTGTGGTTTTAAATCTGGAAAGAAAATCAACACTTTAAAGCCATCAGGAGAAAAAAAACCCACCCAAATACAAAAAAACTGATTTGTTGGGGCACTTTAAAGGAAGGGGTGGGGGTTAGTTACCCACAGTAAATCTGGCTTAATCATGATTACATGCTCATGTAAATCATTTTGTCTAAAAGACCATTAGCTGAATTTCTCTGTACAGAAACAAATACTCAAAACCAAGAGCAAGTATACAGGGATTCTTCATGCACTACAAACACCAGTCAGTCAGCAGAAAGGCTGTTTATGCACTTGAAAACGCAGTATATATTAACTCAAGTATTTGAATTAAAACCTATAGTTATACTGTCGCTTAGTATTTGACAATAATTTAAAATGTTAACTATATTCACCTAGTAATTAAAGCCTAACTGGCTAATCCATTACGTAGCGTTTAAAATGTTAATTAAAGCAAAATGAACACTGACAGTACTTTGTTAACAGGATACTGTCAGTGTTCTAGTTGCTTATTTACATGAGTATCTGCCTGGAAGCTTAGCTCACACAAATTTATCAATTCTAGGATGACTTCCTAGAATTTGTACAGGAGATTAAGGAGTCAAGTATCATCTCTCTAATTAAATATCACTCTGTACTAAGGGAACCAAAGTCCATCTATTTTGATAGCACAAAAAATAGGGGCTTAAATCAATATGAGGTTTTGTTAGACCACCAAGTCGTGTGTATGAACTGCTTAAATATACGTAATTTCATTTAATCCAAGTATGGTACAATATTTTTGGTATGGAAAATTCAGGTTTTCACAATCCCACTGACATTTTTAAGGCAAATGTCTCAAGATTCACAATCCACCTGACTGCATCTATTTGCATGGGGACTAAGCTTGGAAAGACATATCACCACTTAAGGATAAAACAACAATGCCTGAACGAAGGACTGCCATGCAGGATCTCTACCACCTTCTCTGTGTAGTGCCAACAGTTTTCAAACCATCTCAAACTCCTCTTTCCCACTAAGGAAAAAAAACACCTGACGATGCTCAGCATGGTGGTGACGCACTGCGCGGTGGGAAAATGATGGCTCGATAAGACAAAGATGCTACAAAGGGCGGAGCTGCTCAAGACAAAGCCGTAAGAAAGAGGAATTAAATACAATCATCAGGATCAGGGAAACACGCGAGGTTTGTTTCCCCCCCGAAAAAAAACGCCGAACTTCAAAGCATTTAATTAGGTTTTGACTCCTTTACAGGCTCGGGGAGGGGGAATTTCGGCGGAGACGGCGTCACCTCCCACACCAAAACGCGGATTCAGCGGCGGCCAAGCAGCGCGACGGGCCGCTCTGCCTGAAGGAGCGCGAAGCTCCCCATCGCCCCAGCGGATCCCTGGGGACCCCCGGAGAAGCCCG